CATCGGGATCTCATCGGAATCAATCTGCACCATTCTACATGAGAAGCTCGGCCTCAGAAAGGTTTACGCATGCTGTGTACCCCATCCACTCAGTGAGGAACAGAAAGCAGTTCGGGTGGTTTGATGCCGCACCTTGCTTGCCATGTTTGGTGGTGGATGTTCCAGTACAGTTTGGGAGATCATCAGTGATGACGAGATCTGGGTATACAATTTCCACTCAGAGACCAAGTAAAGATCGGCTCAATGGACGTCAGTTGGTAATGCACTGCCTCAGAAACTTCGACTCGAGAGCATTGTGGTAAAGCAGATGGCGGCTGTGTCCATGATCAAAACCGGTCATGTGGCTACTGTACCGCTCGCACAGTGTAAAGCACAGTCACTGGAGACTGCTACGCCACCCACTGTCTGTCGAAAGTACTAGAAGCTGTTGCCAGGCATCTTCCAAGGACTCGAGCACGAGGGACCTTGTTGTACCATGACAACGCACCTGCACACAGGTATCGTGTCGTCGGCGATTTTCTGGCTATAGAACGCATCTGGGAGATTAATCAACTACCCTAGATTCCAGACCTGGCTCCGTGTGACATTCTGTGTTCCCAAATGTCAAGCGCATGATGCTTGGAACCCGATACGGGTCATCAATGACTGCAGCGAAGGCATTCATTTAACTGATCGAAGAGTTATCCGCTTCGGCGTGGTCGAGCGGTTTCACCAAATGGTTTGAGTGCATGGAACTGTTCATGAAAACTCGTGGAGAACACTTGGAGAAAACGAAACGCTTATTTTTGCGTAACAAATAAAACGTTTTGTGCATCCGGAACCTTTCGCTCAGCCCTCGTATAGCAACAAAATATCACCATCATTAAAAACAAAGTAAAATCGAGGTGACAATCATTTATCCCCTTTGTAGTGAAAAAGACCGGTTGCATGAGTTCAGGATCAACAGCTTGCGCGGTCCACACACAACTGATCGGAATATTTCTTTTCTTCAATTTCAAGTCAATCCTCTATCGTGTACATGCAGTAATCATTGATTCAAGTGATCACTTTTGATATTACATAGTATTATAGCCATTACCATGGTTGCGAAGATATAAGCATTCCAGATGCAACTCTCCGCTCATTTATGCGTTTGCACGCACGCACGCACGCACACACACACGCACAAACACTTCAGGCGGATTTGCACCGGGGAGGTAGCTGCGCTCGGCTGCGTGTCCGTATGCATGTATGTTGTTCGTGTGCTTACGTAAGTCAACATTCGTTCGATTTTCGCACATGTGGTGTGGACAAACGTGACAGACACGTGTCACACATGAGACTGCGGAAAAAGATACAAAATACACAATTCGTCGGGTTTGTTTCCACGGAAAACCTCGTTGTTGTTTTTTCGATTTATGTGTTTGTGTACAAATGTGCTGAGTCATTCATTGTCCCCCTCAATGCGAGTTCAATCGATTTTCGAACATACAACGGATTTGATGGTGCCGGTTGACAGCGTAGTTTTCGATCGGACTAGGTCTATCAATAACCGAAACGAGAACAAAAAGATACGACTGATCAGGGAACTATTCATACAGTGAGACCGATAGGCGCGTGTAGAGCACAATCCTCAGGGTCTCACTGGACTGCCGACACACAACCCATAAACGCACATGCACAAGAATAGTTTTTGTTTATATCGATCGAGCATTTGAAGCAAGGTAGTTGGAGAACACGGTGGCCAACTGATGGAATTCATCGTGCAAACCCAAATTTCTCAACTCTCTCTGTGTTTGTTCTCAAATAAATGCTGGTGTTTTGGTTTTACACTAAAATGTGCGACTTCATCGATCTACTCACGAGTTCATCCAGCACTCTGAAATTGGTTGTAGTTGAAAATGAATATTCTAAACATTATCATATTCATTACTACTGTGCTACAATCCTAGTTAGTTATGACGCATTTCAATCCAATCCATCGGTGTTCGATAAATCAAACAACTGTCTGCAAACGGAAGTATTACGAAACATGACCGAACGTCGTGATATGATACTTGTGTGTACTTAAGATAACTTTGCTAACGACTCTCCTAGAAGGGGTTATTGAAAGATGGCAGCCCTCAAGATGGATGAACCGACTTGCGGCACCAATACAACAACAACAACACATTGGTTATCTAGAATAAAATATATCGCTGTCATAGATAAACGATCTTTTCTACCGACGCATACGGCCTTCAAATTAGAAAAACAGATTCGAAAAAGTAGAATCTAGCACCTTGTGATATGTTGTGTTCTGTATAGACGTACTGTGGACATGAGCGCCTTTTCCTTCACCTCCGACAATAATACGGGAGAACTAACACAAATGGAGAACAACAGTCATTGTGTATTCTATGATCATGATGTGATAAGCATGTATAAGAGGGTGGTAAATCGGGCGTACGGGAATGACGTCGTGAGACACAAACCTGATCGCGTCTTTGACATTCCGATTGGTCGATCGGATTCTGATTCGCATCAGTCATTTGATCCGGGATGGACTCACCTTGGGTGTTGCGAGCATGATTGTGGATCTGTGAGCGGCTTAGAGCTCCGTCCCAACAAGATGTGCCATTATTTGATGGTATAAGGTCAAAGGAATGCATAGAAGTATCTCTTGTGAAGGAAAAATTTCAATTCGATTGTACTTTTGGTCGTTAGATAATATTGTGCTACTATCACATACACATTGAATTGAATTCAAAAGACTTCTACTTATCCCCGTATCCAACACTTGAGAAAAAAGAATCCAATTAATCTCACCGACAGCAAATGGTACTCACCAGTTCACATTCCCCGACTGATTGAAACGTGGCGACGGGAATCTCGGCAACAACGAGGAAAGGAAAGACCGGACTTGCGGGGATCGCGCCCGGACGACATAGCCACTGGGCTTGATGAACCAATTCCGGAGTCTCTTCAGGCCAGTGGTACTGTGGTCCGGACAAAAACCGGACTCGAGCTCCGTTGCCACCATTTTTCAGAGCAATCACGTTCATTAGACGAACGTAACCCATCAGGGATGAAATCGTAATACCATGGCCGTGATTTTCTTCCACCTGAGTATGGGTCCAGGGACATGGTAAACAGGAAGATAAAATAAAGGTTGAACGGAGAGTGATGTGCAGTGTGTATATGAGAGCGTCTCTGCCACTGCGCCAACGGCGATGGCGGCGACCACCACCACCAGCACAACCGCCGTCGTCGTCGTCACCATCACCAACATTGATCTCCATCGTCAACATCATTATCATGCCGTTATTGATGCCATCATGCAGTCCTCTTATTTGTGTGTAGCATGCACCATATGTAATTCAAATTGAAAGCAGTAGCTTATCTAATCGAGCACAGTTTTGATCAATGATACCACGCGTGATCCGGTTACTGGTAGATTCCCTTCAGTTCATTTTTGAGTAAAAGGTAAAGCACGAAGACTGCGCTTAGGCCACAAACGTATGTGCGCAACTCTTCGGAAAATAGACTATCGAATGAATCCGTATTTTCACAAGTCCGTCAGTCAGTCACAAAGTTGGGGACAGACTTTTTTATAACACACTAGTGTGTGATGAACAGCCTACGGGGCAGACCCCATGGTTACAAACCCCTGCTGTTCAGTGATGGTAACCGACAACCTGATCCCCGGGACTTGGAGTGGCGAACCACATAAGACCCCGCTAGGTCAGACTTGATGTTTCGAAGCGATTCAAATATGAACCCGCAAGGTATTACGGGATTCGAAGTCTCATTCCGTCGACTCGGCAAACTACCACCAGCGCTCATTACTCGGTAGGGTTGTATTTTTGGGAAAATATAGCTTTTAACACAATTCCAGTAATCCAGCTATTTGACTGGCTAACTCCATCCTTCTGAAAACTGTTTATTATTTTACAATAAATAAAAGGAAGTAAAAAAGAAAGATAATGATACCAATACTGATAAATGATAGTACTAGACTATATATAACTTTACTCGACAAAAAGTAAGCATCACATAATTTTGATCAAAATAGCAGTTTCTAACCTATCTTCTTCCTCAAGATCCAAAAGTACGAAAATGAAAGAACTGATTTAATAACAGAGAGTGTTCAGTAGCTGAACTTAGTCATTAGACGACTTGGCATTCTGTGAAGGATTCACCATTTATTGGCTCCATGCATAGGAAGAACAAACAATTAGAAATCTTCCGGTAGTACCAAGTTGTCCAAACACATGTATACGCTTATTTGCAGAGATTCGTATTCATGCCAATCCATCCCAATATATATATATATATCACTACTTGGGAATAAAATTGTCTGGGGAAAATAAAATCATATCACATCATAGATTCCTGGAAACAATTTCATCATGAGACCTGACATCCGATTCACCACGATCATATGGTTGTTTGTTCATTCATCCGATCATCTCGATTACTCATGACACGTTGTGTGGGGATGAGTGCGTGGTTGGACCAGGGAAGCTTTAGCCCTTGTAGAACTTGCTTTTGGGTACAGACGAATGCCAACCGTTTCTGTTGTGGTCAGCATCCGACAGCAAGTCTGCCTCGACAATCGCCCACGAACTTATACAGGGGTCGGAAATCTTCGGCCACGTTCACGGTGTGGTTTGTTTCAGTTAGGTGTGAAACCACTACACTGGTGAGTGACTTAACCGTTCCTGTGTTCAGCGACGCAGTATGGTGTTCACGAATCCGTTCGAACAATCGCCTTAAGACTTAGGTACGTTGTACCACAGAAACAAGTACATGAAAATACACAGATGAAACAACCGAGTGTGGAAATTTTTCCTTCAGTCGCAAACACAGTTGGCTTGGACGTGAGCAACACACAAAGCCTGGATACATAGAAGGTCTTATCGATTGCGTCGGATAATCTTTTTTGTGATCTCAGTGGATGTGTCCCGTTTGAAGGGTAAAGAAATGTACAAGGATTTTTGTCTTTTGTGAGGATTTCTCTGTGCACTGAATCATTTTGTGTACTAAACACTCCGGATACCCGTTACGTGCAAAGGTCGAGTTTATAGTACGGAGCTCTACAGTAAATGCTATTTTAGGATGCGTAGTGTTGAACGTGTTTATTAGTTCCGTTGTATTGGATGTTGCATTGATCACACAATGAACATCATATAACGACCGCGTGTATAGTGCACAGTCTTCAGTGGATGCCTGTAATGGAGTGTTTTCAAGTTTCGTCATGAATAAGTCTACGAAACGCGGTCCCAGCGGAGACTCCATGGCCGCGACATCTTTTTTGTCCTTAGATCTCATCGTTAAACGGGAACTAAACATTATACGTGCAGAAATAAAGCAGTTATTTTAGGTCATCCAAAAGGAGGCCGAGCTCTACATTATTGGTGTGTACATAACTGCATAAGTATTGAATCGTTTCGCTGATGGGAACATTTATGAACAACGAGCTAATGTTCACCAAGAAGAATGCTCGATCGACAAATTTTATGTCACGAATTTTCTTCACAAAAGTAAATTTATCTTTGACACTGTGCTTTCCCAAACCAACGCGGACGAGTTCTAGTCATTTGGCCAATTATTTTGCCAGGGCATGATGTGGCTAATTGCACATATCCAAAATCGGTCGTAATGGTACTCCATCTTTATGTACTTTTGGTAATCCATACGAACTCGAAATAACAGTCCCGGCTGGCCTAATACGTTCGAAAATGGGCGCATCAATGACTCTCCTCTATTTTAACCATCGCAGAGTCTTAGAGAGTGTACCTTCTGTTTGAGCCATCTTATCCATTTCCGCCGACTTGGTGAGTTTCGACCAATCACTCAATATGGTATTTATATTGTCTATGAGGTCCATTCGATTTAGCAGCACAATCCCCGTCCCCTTATTCAGTTTGGATAATATACTTTTTGAAGTCCTCTTAATCATCTGATGTGTTCTGTAGTCACTAGTTTATGTGTATTTAGCTTGAAATTCGGATGCTAGTATCAGACCTTCTCTGGGGTGGATTTGAACCTTTCCAACTCCAATATGACGAGGGAACCAGGTCAGAAAGTTGTGCATATAGATTCGAATTCTACCTCCATATCCAGTTGATTTGATCTTCCATATGGACAACAAAACTTTGGTCCCAGGGGTAACACTTCTGACAACCATTTATCCAAATTTATGTTTGATAGGTTATGAACATATTGCTCGGGGTTGGTAGGGAACTCACCCACTGGCTTGGTAGGATTAAGTCACAGACGCAGCGTGGTTTGGCTTCGTTCCACCTGTTTGTAAACAAAAGACTGGGCGTATTCTTTAAAAGATTGCCTTTCAGTCTGAGAGAGATTGTTCAACATGCTCAGATGTCACACAATTACGTTTTCAATCCACAAGATGGTTACACAGCATATCCCATTCATTGAGAGCTTGATGTCATAGTGGCACACTGAAGATGTTCATGCGGTTTGGTCTCAAAACTGACCAATACTGCTTCGGATGCTCCGAATCATCAATAAACTGAATTTTAGCATCTTCCAGAGTCAGTTTCGTACGGAATTTAACATATTTGTTAAGTCCACGAAGTAAGACGGGGTATTTGGTCTGCTTCAATTGTCGAAATAGTCCCACAGATCACATTTAAAAAGAAAACGAGAGAGCGGTGAACAGGCTCGTTTGCAGAGATTCGTATTCACGCCAATACATCTCAGTGTATTTCAGTACTTGGGAATAAAGTTGTCTGGGGAGAATAAAATAAAATCCCATCAAATTACAGGCTACTACAAACGACTTCATCAAGAGGACGGAAATCGGATCCATCACCATCACATAGCTGTTTATACACTCATCCAATCAATGATACGGTGTGTGAGGTAGGGATGAT